AGAAAGATGTTGTGTTTCATTGACTATGCTAAGGCATTCAACTGTGTGGATGATAATGAACCATAATAAACTATGAGTATCCTTAGGAAGAATGGGAATTCCAGACACTTCATTGTACTCATGTGAAATGTGTGCAAGGATCAAGAAGCAGTTGTGCAAAAAGAACAAGGAACTAGGACTATAGCATGGTTTAAAATCAGGAAAGGTGCATCAGGGCTGGATACTCTCATCATTTTTATTCACTCTTCATACTGAGCAAATAATCATGGAAGTTGCACTATAGGAAGAGGAACGTGGCATCAGGATCAGAAGAAAGAGTATTAACAACCTGTGACATGCAGATGACAAAACCTTCCTGGCTGAAAGAGGACTTGAAGCACTTGCCGATTCAGATCAAGGAGTGCAGCCTTCAGTGTGGAATAGGACTCAATGTCAAGAAGACCCAAATCCACTCCAAATGGAGAAAAGGCTGACGTTGTCAAGGGTTTTGTCTTGCTTGCATCCACCGTCAATACTCATGGAAGCAGCAGTCAGGTGTCAAAAGACATGTTGCATTGGGTAAATCTGCTGCACAAGACCTCTATTTTTCCCCCAACAATTTTATTGGCACATATTTTACATACCATATAATTTAATAGTTCAATCACTCAATCATATCAGGGAGAATTGTACAATCATTACCATATAAATTTTAGAGCATCCCCCCCCCCAATGGTTAAATAGCCTTTAAAATGAGTTATGCAATCATAATCCAATCTAGTGCTTCCTACCCCCTCCTGCCTTCATTATTTACTCCCCAAATCCCCATTTCCCTCCCTATCACCCACCCCCACCCCTATATCTCCTTGTAACAGTTACTGTCATTATGCATCCACTCCTCCTATGCTTCCCAGCTGGGAGACCCAACAGAAAGCAATGAAAAACAAAATTGCACTAAGGTGGTTAAACTCATAATAGCACAAAGACAAAATTACAAATAACGTGGAAAGAAGGAATAAAGAAGGAAAAGACCCTCAATAACACTCAAAAATCCAGGGAAGACATGGAACCTGTAAGAGAGCTTGCCCCAGAACAAATTCAGTCAAGTCTATAGGGTGGTCAACTGGCCAAGTGTTGAGTTCGATCCACTATAATCATGATTACAATGGTCAAGACCTCTTTAAAGTGTAGCAAAGCAAGGATATTACTTTGAGGATTAAAGTGTGTGTCACCCAAAGCCATTGTATTTTCAATGGCCTCATATGTGAAAGTTAGGCATTGAATAAGATAGATCAAAGGAGATCCATGTATTGAATGATGGTGCTGGCAAAGAATATTGAAAGACAAATCTGTCTTTGAACAAGCACGACCAGAATGCTTCTTAGAAGCAAGGATGGTGAGACTTACCGCAAGTGCTTTGGACAGGTTGTCAGGAAAGACCGGGCCCTGGGAAATGACATCATGCTTGCTAGAGCAGGGGGCAGTGAAAAAGAGGAAAGCTTCTGACGAGATGAATGGACACAGTGACGGCAATGATGGGCTCAAACATAGCTACAATCATAAGAATAGCGTAGGACTGGGCAATCTTACGTTCTGTTGTACATGAGTCGGAAGGGACTAAACGATACTTAATAACAGTGACGACAATAACTATAGTCTTCCATTTTGTGACGTATTGTAAATACTAGCTTCCATGTCAGTGGTTAAGGATTCCTAGTAGTACAGTGGGAGGTTAACTGCAAGGTCCATGGTTCAATCCCACCAGCTGTTTACTGAGAGAAAGATGAGATTATCTGACAGCTCCCATAAAATATACAGCCTCAGAAGCCCTACGGGCAGTTCTGCTCTGTCTTGTAGGGTTTCCATAAGTAAATATTAACTCAGGGGCAGTGGTGGTAAGTTCTAGTAGAGAAGAGAAGAGATAAGCATAAGTAAATATACTAACAGCTACATTGTATAGTGGTCCATAGTTTTGCCTTTTTATGTTTGGTCTCCAGATAAGTTTGTGAGCTCCAGCTTCAGGCACAGTTGGCTGGAAGATGATCATGAGGCTCAGAGAAATGAAAGCCAAAGTCAGTTGACAGCTATGCAAGCAAGAATGGTAAATTTTTCTGGTTGCTAGGGCCAGGGAAAGAAATATTCCTGGAGTCGGAATCTTCCCTTAAGATTCAAAGTAAACTGTAGTAAAAGGCTTGCTAGCAAAATTTTTCAAGGCCAAAGAAAAGTTGTAACCCAAGGAGTGTTTTTCTTGATTGAACTTGATGTATTTAAGCTCCTCTCTCCTAAAAACAAAAAGACAAAAATACACTAGGTGTAATAAGCTTCAGCTAGGTTTCTATAACCCATTTTATTATATATCTCTCTTTCAAACACATAAAAAGAAAACTTTTATTGTGACCTGGGTGAAAGTTTACAGAGCAAATTGTTTTTCCACGACATCACTCATACACCTTTTGTTGTGTGACTTCGGTTGCAATCCCCATAGTGTAGCAAAGCTATTCCCACTTTCTCCCTGTGTCTACCTTTTCACTTTGATGAGTTGGTGTAGCCCACAAAGTATGTGATAAATGCCCACTAACGGTTCTCCACACTTGTCTTCAAGCAACAAACCACAGGAGATCAAAAGAGCAGTATTTGCCCAGGAGTAAAGCTCTGAAGGCGGCAAGGGGTTGGAGAGAAAGGCAAAGTGGGATGGTAGACGTAAAAATTCATCGGCTACATTTGGCCAGACTTTCAATGAACTCATCCCTAACGTGATGGCCAGAACGGCTTCTCTTTGGTGAGGTCAGTGGTGTTGGTTGGATTGATGGTTTTGAAAAAACTCACAAGAACAATTCTACTGTGTCCCATAGGGTCGCTATGAGTTGGCATCGATTGGATGGCAGTGAGTTTGAGGAGTCCTGAAGGAATAGTGGTTGCTCATAGGGCTGTGATCCACAAGGTGAGCAGTTTGAAACCACCAGCCACTTTGGGGGAGAGAGGCAGAGGGGGTCTCTACTCCTGTGAAGGGTTACAGTCTCAGAAACTCACAGGGGTGGTGAGTTAGTTTGGAATGAGTACGTGGCCGTGGACCAGACATTTCCCCCAGTCCTGCTCTAAAGGTGAACTGGTTTTACTGTTGGCCTTATAGGTCTATCCGAAAGCCCTGGTGATGTAACAGTCACATGTTGGACTGTGACCCACATGGTCGGCAGTTGGAAACCACCAGCAGCTCCTTGGGAGAAAGATTCGGCTTTCTACTCCTATAAACAGTTACAGTTCCAGAAACCCAGAGGAGTCACTATGAGTCAGCATTGACTGGATGGCAGCCAGTTTTGGTTTCAGAAGCTTGGCTACAATTTCGGCTGAACACAAAGCCTTAGGATCTTTCAATCACTTTAAATAGGCTGCACATTGTCATTTCAACAAGTTACTGTGAAAGCTAATGTTTAAAGTTTCATATCACCTCATGTAAATGATTTAGAAGTAAGTTACACAGCCTGTCTTAAACGATGCCTGCATTTAAAATCAAGAGACATCATTATTTTTAATTGTGTTGTTACATCATTCCGCTAGTCTCTCCCTATTGCACTTGCGTATATTGTAGTGGAGCTATTTCGGACATTTCCTCCTAAATTCCTAAACAGATGGTGTGATTTTAAACAGTTTGATATGAATAACTTTCTTTTACAGTAACATCTTTCCTAGGACAGGAGCAAACAAATTTTCCAGGCTGCTGTGGGCCATGCACTTCAAATTCGAATTCACTGTCACCTCATAGTGACTGACGGGGACAGAACAGGGGCCTCTGTGCGGCCTGCTAAGGGAATGAACAAAGGACCCTGTGAGAATTGCCTTGGAAAACACCTTAACCTTGAAGCCAGGCCCTCGTGAAAATCCTGACCCAGGCCCGTTTGAGAGATAATCCTGACACATTCTGAGACATGCCGACCCAGAGCAGCAGCCCAGATAAACCAGAACGGATTCATGAGACCCAAGGACGGACGCAGTAACTAAGGAGAACGTGGCTTGACCATCTGCAGAGCGGCACCCCTCCCATTTGAAAGTGCCCTGTGGGAACTAGAGGTGTCCCCCTAGACCAGGGGTGTCAAACTGGCAGCCCGCGGGCCATATGCAGCCCACGATGCTCTGAAGTAAAATGAAAATAGAAAAAATTGTTATGAAGAAAATAGTGCTTAGGGGAGATCTAGGCAATACCATACACACAATCCCCTCGTTACATTTTATTTCAAAGCATCGTGGGCCACAAAAAGTTACCTCGGGGGCCACATGGGGCCCATGGGCTGCCAGTTTGACACCCCTGCCCTAGGCAATGTCCCCCCTCACCTCTTGAGGCAGGGGGTCTTGCTTCATTCCTTTTGAAGTGACTCTATGTTTTAATAAACCTGTGGCTTGACTCGGCTGCAATGTGCCTGCGTGTGAGCCTGGCTTATCACCACATAGGTTTGGAGCTGGCTAGTCCCCTGTGAACGACAGTCCAGGAACTGAACTTCCCGGTGACCTTAGAGGACAGAGTAGAACTGCTCCTTTGGGTTTCTGAGACTGTAAATCTCTAGCAGAGTGGCTGCTGGGTTCAAGCTGCTGACTTTTTGGTTAGCAACCCAACATAGGCCCCATTCTGCCACTGGGGTCATGCTCTTAAGCGGTAGAAAAGAGATGCTGTGGTTGAGGTTGAGACTGTGGGTCATGGGGGTTGAGGCAGAGGAGTCACTGAATACAGGTAGACTGAGATGAATAGAAACCTAGAAGAAAGGAAGGTGGGGAGAGACTCTCAGAGATTTTTCTGGGGTAGGAGATAGGGGCAACTCAAGGTTGACTTTGATGCATGAGTCACTGGGCAGGGTTTAAGAGGTTCCATTGTGACATAAGGAGACAGAAACTGGGGATAGGCCATGCTGGTACCATGACAGAACAAAGACCTGGTTACCAAGGCCAGAGAGTACACACCAGGCACTTAGTACAGGAATGGAGCCCCGGCTCGTGATCCCTCTTCCCCACCCTCCCTCTCCCCAGCCTGCCTGAGATGTCATCTTCCACCTCAACATCTTCCAGCCTGCCTGAGATGTCATCTTCCACCTCTTCCATTCTAGGTCTTCACTCTCTAGCTTCTGCTTGATTCCACATTCTGAACCCATTTGCACCGGGGACCACTACCTTCCCTTCCAGTAATCTCTCAAGGTTGTCTGCTTTCCTTTGGCCCTGATTGCCAGCCCCACTAATTCTGCTGGAGATGGAAGCACCCACCCTCTCCGAAACCTTTAAGCTTCCTCCTGATCTCCCTCAAGAGTGTTGGGACCCTAGGATGATCATCGCCTTATTTGAAATTGGATCAATATCCCTTCTCTTCTGGAGTTCTCTCTTTTCCCTAAAAAAGAACAACAGTCAAGCATCTGAACAACTGACTACACAAAGGCTTGAAGACGTCTTAAGCAACATTGAAGGTATCCTTAGAAATGTAACGGGTTTGGAAAAGACCACAGGCACAAATGAATCTTTGGAGGCCACCCAGGCTTCCGACGATGACATGCTGAACCTTGAAGAGAAACTCAGGGGACTTGACAAAATCAACAAGATGCTATTTAAAAGTCTGCTTGCAACTTTAGACCCAGAGAAATGCCAGAGTCCCAAGAACCAGGAAAACATACCTGAAAACCAGGACTCAACGGACGTGGTACCGGTTTTTACAGTGGAGTTGGTAGATCACGCTGAAGAAGAAAAGGACCTCGATGGAACTAAAGGAAGTGAAAAGAAGACAAAGTGTGGATTACCCCAGAATCAGGAAAAAAATCTCAAACTCAGGGACAGCATGGATCAGTTACTACAGAAAGCTGAATGCTGGAGCGAACAGCACTCTGAGCTCAGTGGACTACTCAAATCCTATCAGAAGTCTCAGCACGACATCAGGGAACTTTTTAAGAATACGGAAGTGCATTTCGAAACCCCATCAAATAATAAGGTGTCCACTACTCAAGAGATGGAGGAACAAGTGAGGGAATTGGAACATGAAACGCATTCATTGCATCTGACGGCAGCTTTACTGGAGAATGAGTGCCAGATCTTACAGCACAGAGTCGGGCTGCTCAACAAACTCCATCTGAACAAAGAGCGAGCTCAGACAGAGGAGGAAAAAGACCAGGAAGAGCAGAAACCAGCGGAAGCCGAACAAGTGATCGCTCTTAAGCAGAAGCCAAAAGACAGGGAGGTTACTCATCAGAAAAGCAACAACTTTTCCACCTGGCTGGATGTTGGTCATAATAAGAAAGCTCGCAACAACCGGCTCAACATTCATATTGCAAAAAGAGGTCTTTTGGGAAGAAAGAGGTCAGCCAACAGACTAAGATAGAAAATACCAAAAGTAAAAGAAGAGACAGTTCTTCAAAGGCCGGTACACATTCCACTCCAGGCACAACCAATCGTCAAACCCAGGATAGATCTGTTGGATTAGCCAAAGAAAGAGCTCTAGGATAGGAGGATTAGCACCATATGCATCCCTGTAGTTACTCTGTTAATCTGGCCTTGAATTAGCATTGGTGCCAATATTAAGTTCATAGCTTGTCACTTTGACAATATGCTCGTTTGTAGTGGTTCATGGAAGTCCTGTAACACTTAAATGAGAACTTAGAAGTTGTAAGACCCAACTCAGTGAATATTTAAATAAAAATCAAGATGAACGACAGAAAGTATTTTTTCCTTTATTTAATCATTACCTGGTGGTGATAGAGTGAGACTTCAAGGGGAGAAAGTATATAAAGTGGAGTTTAAATATATATATATATAAAATTGTACTTTGGGTTGAAATGTTTACAGCAAAGCAGATTCCCATTCAATAATTTCTACAAATACTGCTCAGGGACACTGGTGATAGTCTTCACGTCGTACCAACATTCTCATCATTTCTATTCTTAGTTGTTCCCCCTCAGGATCCTAGTCTCTGAGCCACAGCCATCTATGTTTTAGAGTGTTAGTACTGTTTTACCATTTGGTCTCATGGAGATGATTTTTAAAAAACACAAGGATATATTTATTACTTTATGCACTTATCTGATAATTAGCTAAAAAGGTGACTTGAGGGTGTAATTTTGCCTCCTTACCTCAGGGTAAGAGTTTCAAGGATTTCTGATGCCTCTGTGAGTCCAAGAAGTCTGGAGGCTTTCAGAATTTGAAGTTCTGTTCTACATTTTTCTCCTTTCTATAAGGATACATCTATGGTGGTTCTGATCAGAGTGGTTGATAGTGGTTGCTGGACACCGTCTAGTTAGTCTGGCCTCAAGGTAGAGGAAATTGGTTCATGCAGATAAGTTGGCCTATGAATCAGTCCCTTCTCTGAATCTTGGGTTTTCTTTGTCTTTTGCTGTAGACAAGTAAACACCAATAGTTTTATCTTAGAGGGCCACTCGAAATCTTTAAAGACGACAGCCACTACTTACCAAGCTAGGATGGTAGAGCATAAGCTTTATAACTATATTATGCCAGTTGATCAAAATGTCCCACCAGACTATGACTACATTTATTTTTTAATTTTTAATCGTTTCTCATACAACTCTTATCACAAGTCATACATACATCAATTGTGTAAAGCACATTTGTGCATTCATTGCCCTCATCATTCTCAAAACATTTGCTCTCTACTTAAACCCTTGGCATCAGGTCTTCATTTTTCCCCTCCCTCCCCGCGTGCCCCTCCCTCATGAACCCTGGATAATTTATAAATTATTATAATATCATATCTTGCCCTGTCCAACGTCTCCCACTTTTCTGTTGTCTGTCCCCCAGGGAGGAGGTCACATGTAGATCCTTGTTCCCTCTTTCCAACCTACCCCCCCTCTACCCTCCCAGTATCGCCACTCACACCACTGGTCCTGAAGGGATCATCTGCCCTGAATTCCCTGCATTTCCAGTTCAGTTCCTATCTGTACCAGTGTACACCGCTGGCCCAGCCAGACTTGCAAGATAGAATTGGGGTTATGATAGTGGGGGGAGGTGGAGAAGCATTTAAGAACTAGAGGAAAGTTGTATTTTTCATCGTTGTATGACTGCATTTTTAAACTAAGAAAATTAATCCTGTGAGGTGATTACTTAATATCTAAGAACTATCTGTTCCTATGACTTATTTTACCTACACACATCTTTACATATGTATATGTATGTTATGTGTGTACATATAACCTTTAGGTTAGCAGCTGAACACTTAATCACTGAACAACAAGGTCTCATATATGTCACATATACAAACACACATAAACATATTTGCATTGTATTTAGGTAGTGGTTGTTACAAATTATGTATAACAGAATTTACTCAAACATGCTTTAAATAATGATCTAGGAACACCAGTTACTTTGGTTCAGTTGTACACACTTGTCTCACTTTCAGTGTTATCTTTCCCATCACCACAAATAAAAAATGACTACAGACACTTGTCTGTCTGTCTGTTGTACTGTGGTGCTTGTGTGTTAACATGATACTGGAAGCTATGTCACTGGTATTAAATGCCAGCAAAGTAAACCTAAGTGAACAGGTTTCGGTGGAGCCTCCAGACTAAGAATAGACAGTGATGAAAGGCTCAACTTCCCACTTCAGAGGAAGATTAGCTGAAAACCTTCAGCATAGAATAGAAAAGCTGTCAGTTCCTGAAGGCCTAATGAATGGAAGCAGAACATCTTCAGAGGTTGTGCCAAAGGAGGGGCTCTCGGTCAGAAGACACTGACAACATGACTGAGGAGGAGCTGCCTTCTCAAAGCCGAGTCAACCATGGTGACGGGAATGGAGCACAGCTGGTGAGAGCAGAGCCTGTGGGTCTTCACTCGCTGAAGAGGCCCAACCCCAAAGGAGAAGGAACAGCTGCAAACATCAAGGAATAATCAGAACTTAGAATGTACGAAGTAGGAATTTAGGCAAATTGGTAATCATAAAACATGAAATGGAACACACAAAGATTGATATCCTGGGCTTTCGTGAGCTGAAATGGACTGGTATTGTCCATTTTGAATCAGAAGATATGTTTACTATGCCAGAAATGGCATAATCAAGAGGAATGGGGTTACATTCATTGTCAAAAAGGACATTTCAAGGTCTATCTTGAAGTACAGCAGTAAGAGGATTCTATCTATTTGCCTTTAAGAAAATCCAATTAATAACAACTATTATTCAAATTTTCACACCAATCACAAAAGCTAGCGATGAAATTGATTCTATCAATGTGTTCTGTCAGAAATTAAAGAAGCAATCAAGATGCATTGATAACTATCAGAAATTGGGATGCAAAAGTTGGAAACAAAGAGGCAGGAACAGTAGTTGAAAAATACAGTCTTGGTAGAAATGAAGCTGGAGATCAAAGGATTGCATTTTGCAAGACTAACAACTTGTTCATAGCAAATACTATTTTTCAACAACACAAACAGTGATTACACATGTGGACTTCTCCAGATGGAATACATAGAAATCAAATAGACTACATCTGCCGGAAGAGAAGCTCAATATCATCAGCTAAAACCAGGTCATGAGCCAAATGCAGAGTAGACCATCAATTGTTCAAATGTAAGTTCAGGTTAAAGGTGAAGAAAACGAAAACAAGCCCATGAAATCCAAATACAACCTTGATTCTATCCAACTAGAACTTCAAGAACATCTCAAGAACGGGTTTGCCGAATTGAACATTAATGATGGAAGACTTGGTGAACTGTGGGAAGGAATCAAGACTATCGTTCATGAGGAAAGAAAAGGGTCATTTAAAAGCCAAAAAACGAAAAAATATATCAAAGTGGATGTCAGAAAATACTCTAAAATGTGCTCTTAATCATAGAGTAGCTAAAGCCAATGGAAGAAAGGGTGAAGTCAAAGCTGAATATAAAATTTCAAACCGCAGCTAAAGAAGACAAAGTCAAATATTATAATGAAATATGCAAAGATCTAGAGTTAGAAAATCAAAAGGGGGAGGGAGGGGGGGGAAAGTGAGGACCTGATGCTGGGGGCTTAAGTGGAGAGCAAATGTTTTGGGAATGACGAGGGCAATGAATGTACAAATGTGCTTTGCACAGTTGATGTATGTATGGATTGTGATGGGAGTCATGTGAGTCCCTAATAAAACGATTAAAAAAAAAAAACCAAAAAGGAAGAATGCATTCAGCATGTCTTAAACTGAAAGAATGGAAGAAAAACTTCAAGCCTCAAGTTGAAATACTGAAAAATTTTATGAGTAAAATATTGAATGGTGCAGGAAGCATCAAAAGAAAATGGAGGGAATACACAGTCACTGTACCCAAAATAACTAGTCAGGATTCAAGAGGTAGCATATGAGAAAGAACCAATGGTGGAAGAAGTTTAAGTGCACTGAAAGCATTAGTCAAAAGCTAGGCTCTAGGAATTGATGGAGTACCAATGGAAATGTTTCAATGAGCTAATGAAGTACTGGAGGCACTTACCTGTCTATGCCAGGAGATCTGGAAGACAGCTACTTGGCCAACTGGCTGGAAGAGATCCATATTTGTACCCATTCCAGAGAAAGGTGACCCAAATTGTAGAACAATATCATTGATATCACATGCAACTCAATGTTCCTGAAGATCATCCAAGAATGGTTGCAGCAGTACATGGACAGGGAATTGCCCAATTCAGAAGAGGACATGGCACAAGGGATATCATTGCTGATGTCAGATGGGTCTTGGCTGAAAGTAGACAATACAAGAAAGATGTTTACTTATGATTTATTGACTATGCCAACGCATTCAACTACTGTGTGGGTCATGAGAAACGATGGATAGTCTTGAGAAGAATAGGAATTCCAGAACACTTCATTGTGCTCCTGCAAAACTTGGACATGGATCAAGAGGCAGTTGTGTGAACAGAACAAGGGAATACTGCATGGTTTAACATCAGGAAATGTGTGTGTGAGGGCTGTATCCTCTGACCATATTTATTCCATCTATATACTGAGCAAATCACCAGAGAAACTAGTTTATATGAAGAAGAATTTGGCATCAGGATTGGAGGAAGTCCTTTTTTGTTTGTTTTTAAATCATTTTATTGGGGGCTCATATAACTCGTTTCACAATCCATACATACATCCATTGTGTCAAGCACAGGTGTACATTTCTTGCCCTCATTATTTTCAAAACATTTGCTTTCTACTTGAGCCCTTGATATCAGCTCCTCATTTTTCCCCTCCATTCCTGCCCCTTCCCTCATGAACCCTTGATAATTTATAGATTATTATTGGTTTTTTTATGTCTTACACTGTCAGATATCTCCCTTCACCCACTTTTCTGTTGTCCATCCCCCAGGGAGGGGGTTATATGTAGATCCTTTTAATCTGTTCCCCTTTCTACCCCACCTTCCCTCCACCCTCCAGGTATCGCCACTCTCACCACTGGTTCTGAGGGGCTCATCTGTCCTGGATTCCCTTTGTTTCCAGTTCCTATCTATACCAGTGTACATCCTCTGGTCTAGCCAGACTTGCAAGGTAGAATTGGGATCATGATAGTGGGGGAAGCGGGGAGAAAGCATTTAGGAACTAGAGGAAAGTTGTATGTTTCATCATTGCTTCACTGCACCCTGACTGGCTGGTCTCCTCCCTGCAACCCTTCTGTAAGGGATGTCCAGTTGCCTATAGATGGGCTTTGGGTCTCCACTCCGCACTCCCCCTCTTTCACAATCATATGATTTTTT